CCCCAGCAATAGAGATTGACTCAATCCCTTTGACTGGAAGGGAGAACTCTTTAACCAAATCTTGAGTAATTAAATTTTGTTCGGCACCCGAATCAATCAAGGCTGTGAGAGGGAAACGATTTTGGTTGATTATAATTACAGTGGGTAAAGTAAGTCTTAAAGGAGGGGAGATTGATGCCGTGCCCACCTGTATCTCCCTCTTTATTGGTGGGCGTTGGAGTTTCCCTGAAGCAGACAGGAGGCTACAAAGTGCCCGTTCTTCCCACAATAAATACACAAGCCCAAACTTCTACGTCTCTGCCTTTCTTGAGGAGTCAAACGGGTATGACCAATTTGCATTGGTTCGGGCCGATCAAACTGTGAGTTAGAAGACTCTTCCTGGGATTTGTAGTTCTCTGGGGTAAAACTGTAGTTGTACGCCCCACTCCGCTGTTCTGCGGAACCGGAAGGATTCTGGGAGTTGTAGTTCCGCTCCCTACGGCGCTCCCGGAAGCGTTCGTCGAGAGATTTGCTAAGTTAATTAGCGCGTCGAAGCTAGACGGCTCGTCACGAGCGGCGATCTGATCCTTCACATAATCGGACAGTGAATTCAAAAAGGTACCTTGCAAGGCCCTGTCGTTCCAACCTGTTTGGGCCGCCAGGATGCGGAAGTCGAGAGCGTGTTCGGACGCCGGTCGCCGGCCCTGCCGTAATCCCAGCAGACGCTTCTCGGCGTTGGATTGCTACAGCGGACGGTCGAATATTCTACAGAACTCGGTGAGTAGAGAGTCAAAAGACACAGTCTCAAGTTCATGGAGGTGAAGAAACGAAGTAGCCCATTTTAGAGTGTTTCCCTTGAGTTGGTTAATGAAAAAGTTTATTTTAGCGATGTCAGCAGAATAATACTGAGGAGCCCCCTTAAAGGCGAGTTTGCATTGTAACAGAAAACCTCTGCATTGATCAGGGTCTCCAGAAAAAAGTTCAGAGGGTTTTACAAACAATTGTTGATTTGTGGAATGACTTACAGGGCTGAATTCGGTAGGACTCGGTAAAGGCGAAGCTGCGGCTGTGGGAGAAGGAGAAACAAGTTGTCTGTTAATAGCATGAACCATGCATCCGAGTTCCAGTAAGTTTGCCTGGGTGCTCTGTTGTTGGGCCATAATTTTCTTAAGAACCTCTCCAAAATTGTCCATGTTCTCAGCGTTAGCGGATGATGATGCTTGTTCGCTTCTGGTTTCGTTCTGGGTATGGTCTGGCTGGAGCATTATCTGTTATGATACGGACTACTCAGTGGGAACGAGAACCAGAACGACAAGAGCCTCAAGTAAGCAAAACAGTGTTTATTATTTACAGTGAATGAAAAAACGAGTATATACAAAAGTTGGCCTGGGACTCCTGAAAAAGGGAGAGACAGGGTCAGGACTAGGAGGCAAGTGGAGGCAGCTCAAATGGTGGAATAAATTGTTTTGTCTTTCCTTACAGGCAACTCCTTGTGGGGTGAGGTTGTTGGGGAAAATCCAAAGGCAGGCAAGTGGTTGGAGGGCAAAGGTAACAGAGGCGAGACTCCGACACTGGAAGAACCAAGAGCAGGATCCGAGATGACCAGGAAACTGTAGACACAAAAATACACGGTAAGAAATCCTTTTCATATACTCAAAATACTGGCTAGAGGCACAACTACCAGAAAGGAAGTAATGCTCCAGCGACGAGAAGAGCTTGACTGCAGCCTTATGTAGTGGAGGAGCTCGTCAGGTGGAATGGTCGTCAGCTGTGGATGATTGGCGGCCATCTTGGGGCTGCAGCAAGTTCAACTCTTACAGTACCCCCCTTCACGGGTCGCCCCTGGGCGACCCAAGGCGCTTCTCGGGGTGGGCCTTGAAGAAGGCGGTGAAAAGGCTGGGGTCCAATATGAAGGAACGGGGGATCCAAGATCACTCCTCCGGGCCATAGCCCTGCCATTCCACGAGATACTGGAAGCCCCGTCCCCGGCGACGGACATCCAGAATGGTACGGACAGTGAAGGCAGGATGGTTGTCAATAAGTCGGGCGGGTGGAGGGAGGTCGGCAGGAGGGCACAATGGGCTCTCTGAAACAGGTTTTACCTGAGAAACGTGGAAGGTAGGATGGATTCTCAAGGAGCTGGGGAGCTGTAGGCGCACAGCCGAGGGATTGATGATCTTGTCAATCGCGAATGGGCCGATGAAGCGAGGAGCCAATTTCCTGGGGGTGTCCTTGAGATGAATGTCTCTGGTGGATAACCATACCTTCTGGCCCTCCCGATAAGAAGGTGCGGCGGAACGGTGACGGTCCGCGAACCTTTTGTTTTGAGCCGCCGTGCGAAGAAGAGCCGCCCGTGTTTGGCGCCAGACACGTCTACAACGGCGAAAATGGTGCTGGACAGACGGTACTGAAACCTCTGTCTCCTGACTAGGGAACAAGGGAGGGAGATAACCCAGTGAAGCCTCAAAAGGTGACATACCTGTGGCCGAGGAGGTATGCGAGTTGTGGGCGTACTCGACCCACACAAGATGTTGACTCCACGCCGAGGGGTTACGCTCCACAATGCACCTCAGAGTGGTCTCCAGCTCTTGGTTGCACCTTTCAGTCTGTCCGTTTGACTGAGGATGATAACCCGAAGTGAGACTGGTGGACGCCCCCAATGTCCTGCAGAAACAACGCCAAACTTGGGAAATGAACTGCGGACCTCTGTCAGAGACCACATCTGAAGGGATGCCATGAATCCTGAAAACTTGTTGGACCAAGATTTGAGCTGTCTCCATGTCCGATGGGAGCTTGGGTAGAGGGACAAAATGTGCTCCTTTAGAAAACCTGGCGATGATGGTTAGAATAGTGGTGTTACCTTCAGAAGGGGGTAACCCGGTGACGAAGTCCACTGAAATGTGAGACCAGGGTCGGCTAGGTGTCGGCAGAGGCTGTAGGAGACTGGCAGGAGGCTGAGTACCGGTCTTATTCCTGGCACAAGTGGAGCAAGCCGCAACAAATTCCTTGACATCCTTAGAAAGCGTGGGCCACCAGAAATGTCTCTTAGTAAGAGACAGCATACGTGCTGTACCGGGATGACATGAGAGTCTATTGGTGTGGAGCCAGTCAAGTACCTTGGACCTCATATGAGAGGGGACGAACAAAGTGCCAGGGGGACCAGTGCC